TATCTCTAGGTGGCAGGTGCCAAGCTTGCCCAGGAAGGTACATGAGGCCAATGGGGATTGAACCCACGACCTCCTGAATGCCACTTGTGAGCCTTACCAACTGAGTTGGAGGAGATTAGTTTGCTCCTTTTTATTTTCTAAGAAATATGGGAAAAAGCAGACTGCCCCACTTTCTTTCTCCATTTTACATTTGAGAAAATATGGAAAAAAAGCTTTCAGCAGAATTTGATTCTCTTTTTTTTCCCTCATTTCGAATTTTTAATTTGCAATAACTGTGTCACACCGTCGAGCTAGCTCAACTCAAAGGTGTAACTGGGACAGCCATATATTTTTCTCCCACCTCACATATTTTTTAACTGGCTTTTTGAAAGATCATGGCTATTATATTGCAAAAATCAAAGTTGAGGCCGGGGACGTCCCAATTAAACCCGGGGCCAAGTCCCTCCCGCTGGCGGTGGGAATAGTATCGCGAATGAGGACCTTCTTGCGTGTGACACGTCTGCGAGCCGTAGATGATAGGGACGGATCGGAGCGTGTCCTGCTTTTATCGTAGTGGATTGAACTCTGTACTAAGCCTTGATATTTCTCGCACTCTCATTGGTTGTCCATGCTAGTGGGGTACTGTTTCCATGAATCAAAGGGTTCTCATTCCTGACGGTTCTGTTGATGGGTCAGGAATGAAAACCCATTAGGGAAACGGGTAAAAGCGCTTGGAAAAAAAAAAAAAAAAAAAAAAAAAAGGGCCTTCAGTTGTGTCAGTGTGGGGCAGTTGTGTCAATCTGAGGCCCTATTCCGACTGTGATGACAAGTGTTTGGCAAGGTTGGGGCCTTAGGCCCACACACAATCAACACTGTACACGCATTTGGACTCATTCTGGACCAGATACATTAAATAAAGTTGGACTTGTCCTAATGCACTTCGTAGAGAAATTTGGGTGATAAAAGCTTTACAATACTGTCACACACCGCCGCACCCCACCACACCCTGCCACACTGGTCTAGGAATCAAAGCCAAACCCATGCTAGTGGGACTTGGCCCCGGGCCCAAGTAACTTACTGGGGCCAATGCCCTCCTCTTAGGCTATGCTGGAACCCAGGTCCAGCAGCGTCCCTTATAACCACACAGCCACCTTTGATAGGAAAAAAGGGAAACCTAAACTAACAAGAATGGAGTACTAAGCTCCGCGGCCTGCATATGCCGCCTACCTGGCCCTACCACCAACCAAACCTACTATTAAAAAAAAAAAAAAAAAGAAAGAAGCTCTAGAAGCGGTTCAGGCTGAAACTCACGGAATTACTAGCAGGCTTAGTAGCAGCGGTGTCACTTTGAGCACTGAGAGTGGGACAAGGGGCAGTGGGAAACAGCGGTGCCACTTTGAGCTGTGAGAGTGGGACAAGGGGCAGTGGGAACCCTACTGGTCGCGTGGTAAGAGAGAGGCCTTGTAGAGCAGACTTGACTTGTGCAGTCCAAAGATCCAATATTAAATTCCTCCTAAGGGGGAGTTGTCTCTATGTCGTAGAATTGAATCTGCGTTGTGCAGAAGCATAGACCCCTTCCCGATTACTTATGAGATTGTCAGTGCTTTCCTATTACTAGGTCCCTTTCGGGTTAGGCAGGTACTATGGGTGCTCTGACTTCCAATAGGTATGGGTGCCTGGTGAGAGACCCGTCTTGGCAGCTCAGGGCTCTTTACAGTGTTTTGGACAGCGAGGATGAGAGGGTAGCCCTGATAGAGATTTTTTTTTTTCTTTATACACTATGTTCTTCTCTCAAATTCTTTTTTGCCTTTCACTACCTTCCTACCACTACTCCTAAGACTATATAGAGGGGACCCCTGCAAGCATAGGGCCTCGCAAACGAGGTAATTCATGTTTCCCCCCCCCCCCCGAAACTCGCCCCCACCAGTGTTAGTGGCACTCATACGAGCAGACACCACTAGCACCTGCTGTGGAGAGGCTCCATGAGTCTCCATCTATTGGTGGGGAGCATCACCTGCTGGAAAACAGGTCCAGTGTCCCAAATACCGACTGAATTTGGAGTACATCAGAAAAATGAGGGGATCACTCTGCTTCAAGTAATATGTGAAGCATGGCGAGTCCCCCCTTAAATTATTTTTGGGGCTCCACGAATCACGAAAACAGCGCAAAGAGAGAACTTGATCATGATGGCTGAATGGAGGAAAGCCAGAAATATGTTCTCTCAATCTCCAGCTGCTCGGGATCTATTGCTCAGGAGCATATATCTGCCTTCTGAGTTCCAATGGATCCGTTTCTCTGAGAATAATCAACTGGTCAGTCCTCGCCACCCATGGGATGAGGTGGAAGACTTCGTTCTTGCCCAGGATCCCGCTGCTGCTCAATTGTGATCAATACTTAGGGGCAGATCCCACTTCTTATAAGCAGGGCACTTTTAGGCAAAATTTGGGATCCACTTCTTTCCACGAAACTCGGATCCCGTCCTGGAACGTCGAATGTCGGGGAAGTGGAAATGTTCTCGTACGTGGAGGCGCGAGCGTGATTGCAGGGGCGGTGCCGCGGTAGTTCTTCCAGTTTTCGGAAGAGGCCACCCCTGTACCCTGCACCGCGAAAGAAGGAGCTCTTGTTTTTTTTTTCCCTTTTTTTTTCCTTTTTTTTTTTTTTTTTTTTTTTTTTTTCAAAAAGTCCATGGTGTTGTAGAGCCTCAGGCCAGTCACTGAGTGCACAGTGATGAACCTGTCTCTTATACACATCTAGATGTGTATAAGAGACAGGGATAGAAACGAGTTTGTGTGGCATATTAGTGACCCAAATCCTGCCTTGCAGCACTTGTGATCCCACGGTCAGTACTTTACATTTATTACCCGGAAAAGTAAGGAGATCTTTGTTTCCCTCCTCCTCTCCTTAACACTGGGCATGCCCGTGCGAAGAAAGTTTTTCGCCAAAATCTTTTCAATCAGTTGGGGGTATGGCCAACCCTGAGAGAGGGTGGGGTCGGCCATAAGCCCACTGGATAGAAGATTTTCCGTATTTTGCTTGCTGTTGTGCAATTATCTCATTGGGTGGAGCCTTCCTTCAATCACGGAGTATATGGAGGGCGTCATGATGACTGCTGACAGAAGTCGAGTTTATTGCAGAAAAATGTGGCAGTTACTTTGTTCACTGTTGTGGGAACCACGGCCATCAGATCATTTGTGATCTGATGGCTGGGAACCACTCTGCCGTGATTTTCGGTGGGAGGTCTCTGTTTTTTGTTTTTGTTTTTGCCTTTCTCCTGTTTCCTCAGCCCAGAAATTCGTAATGAACCTGTCAGGCTGCTGCCACTTGGTGTCAAACTGGATCGGCCACACTCCTATCCGACTGCTAATGGGACCATGCTCCTGGAGCAGTAGGCCGTCGGTGTCCTGGAATATGGGACCACCTCCCATCCCAGCCTCATGTCAATACTCCTAGTGCACCCCCTATCCCACTGTCCTACCTCAGTGCTATGTCTCCCCCCGTACGGATACGGGGAGTACGGACGGCCGTACGTCCGTACGTACGGCCCCCCAGGCGGTTGTACGACCTGTTTCGGGGGGCTTCCTGGGGGGGGGCGGTGGCATCTGAGGGGG